GCTCGCCTCCCGCCGAGCTGGGAACCGGGACCTGGGGAGCGGGGAGGGCCGGGGCCCAGCGTGCAGTCTCCACGGACCCCCCTCGTCTATCTGCAGACGGGTGCTGGTGTCCGGCGTGAGGGGCTCGGCCCTGCTGCAAGCCGAACTTAGCCTCCGGAGTAGTTTGCAAGGGGCTAATGAGTGACCGCGGTTTGCAGACAGCGTTGCTAACGTTGATGCCATGGTTGTGTCGTGTTTGTCAGTCATCTGCTGACCTGCCAGGCGCTGGAGTAGCCTAGCATAACCTGCCGGTTATTTTTTAAATGTCTGCTAGTCACTTGCTAACAAACAATTTCTAAATGGAACCTCTTGTCAGGGCTGATGGCATGTGTTGGAAAGGGCTTTGGTGACAGGCGGCAGAGACCATCTTAAATGCCACTTAGCAGGTGTTTAGCAAAGGAAGAGTACGTTTTGAACAGCTCACCTGCTCAGGGTAGTTTCCCAAAGCCATCAGCCCATGGGAGCTATGCTGTAATTCCTGTTCATCTCTTGTGACGTTTGCATTTTGTTCTTTGTTTTAGAACCACTGGGTTGCACAGATGCTCCTTAAATGTCCCATGACCCATCAAGTTATTTCCGTCATTCTTAATTTGGGGTGTTTCTGTGCAGGGGAAGTGAAATAAAGAGCCTTTAGTTTCTGAACTTTCTGCAGAAATTAACTTGAAGCAGAAGTTTCTGATTTTGGCTTTATGGTTAGCGCTGGTTCTAAGAGCTGCAAAAAGAGTAAAAACAACTTGAACAGACCCCTGGGACTCATGCAGAAAGGCAGGTTTTGCCTGCGAGGAATAGGAGTGCTTATCTGAGCAGTGTGGAATGCACCTGTTTCACCTGGTTGGAGGTTGGTCCCAGGATGTCATCACTAAGCAGCACTACAGTGTCCACACCCTTCCCGGGAATGTTGGTAGCAGGTGTAAAGAAACCAGATCCCATCCTTTTCCATACCAGTTCCCTGCCAGCTTGCTCACTCCTCTGGTTAACAGATTCTTGTGGATGTTCAATCCTTGGAGCAGATTCCAGAGTGTGTTGCTAGGTAGGCCAAGCAGATCAAAGCTGTTGACTCCCCTGGATGGAGAAGAGACACGGGTTAGATGACCTGTGCACTCATGCCAGAGCTACTTCAATTTATTCTTATTTGGGGTTTAGCATCCAGGGGCTCTGCCCTGGTCAGAAATGGTGTGCATTCCATTTTACTTAGGGCAAGGTAAACTCAGTCATCAGTGCTTTGGTGTTGCCTATTTTTCTTCAGCCATCAGTACTGCACTTTTGGATTCCTGGAGGTCTGATGTTTCCCTTCCAGCCTGGGTCAACATTACGAACTGAAAAGGCACTGGGCATGGTTCTGGCAACCTTGCTGACTGATATGTTTTTTAGTGACTGTTATGCTGAAGGAAGGTGTTCCCTGGACAGTCCTGGAGACAGAAGCACTGTATTTCTAGAGCAGGTACAGTACAGACAGCAGCCAGACAAACCTCTTATTCTGTCTCAGGCCTTTGCTCGCAGAGTGTCCCTGCGAGGGGGAGAACTGGTTGGCACTTGGCCTTTCTCTTGCAACCTTGTCTAAGGAACCTGAGGTGTCGAGGTTGCTGCAGTGTGAACTTGCACCTGCGCCCTTGCAAACCAGCCTGCAAAGAGCATTGCCAGAAAAGAGCAGCAGAGAAGCTGGGCCTCTGTGCCTGGGAATCCCCTTCTGAGCTTAGAGATCACGTGCACAAAACACTTGCAGTTCCATTTGTGAGTCAGCGTTGTTGAGGTGATTAAAAAATGGTTTGCCAGAGGACCTGTATTGATGTTAGGCCTGTATGTCTTTTACATCTTTCCAGCAGAGCAAGTCAGACAGGAGATACTATTGAGCTAGTGATCATGCAGTGGAAAGGAAAGCCTGGTGACTGTGATTCCTGGTGATTTTCTTGTTTCTTTGGAAGCCTGAGGACACAGACTAGAAAACATGTTTAACCAGTGACGGTATGTTTGGAAAAACTAGACAGGCTTTCAGATACAGATACTTGTGTGCCTGAAAGCTTGTCCAATTCCCAGCTCTAAGGTCTCTAATAGATTACCTCCTATGTACAAAATTTATTAAGACGTGGGGATGGAAATACCATATTCTGTTGGTCTGTGTGTGACCTGCAGAATCCAGGAGTCATAGCTGTTGATACCGTATTCTGTTGGTCTGTGTGTGACCTCCTGCAGAATCCAGGAGTCATAGCTGTTCTGTACTATTTCCAAACCCTGCAGATTGCCTCGGTACTGCGCCCCTCCGTCCTGCTGCAATGAGTGGGAAGTCTTTGCTCTTAAAGGTCATTCTCCTTGGGGACGGTGGAGTTGGGAAAAGTTCACTCATGAACCGATATGTCACCAACAAGTTTGACTCACAGGCTTTCCACACAATTGGTGTGGAGTTCTTAAACCGGGACCTGGAGGTGGATGGACATTTTGTGACTCTCCAGATTTGGGACACTGCGGGACAGGAGAGATTCAAGAGCCTGCGAACCCCCTTTTACAGGGGAGCAGACTGCTGCCTGCTGACCTTCAGTGTGGATGACCGGCAGAGCTTTGAGAACCTCGGCAACTGGCAGAAGGAGTTTGTCTATTACGCTGACGTGAAGGACCCTGAGCACTTTCCATTTGTAGTCTTGGGCAACAAGATAGACAAGCTTGAGAGACAAGTGAGCACGGAGGAGGCCCAGGCCTGGTGCATGGAAAATGGTAACTACCCATACCTGGAGACTAGTGCCAAGGATGACACCAATGTGGCAGTGGCCTTTGAGGAGGCTGTGCGACAAGTGCTGGCGGTGGAGGAGCAGCTAGAGCACTGCATGCTGGGCCACACCATTGATCTGCACTCCGGCTCCAAATCAGGATCTTCCTGTTGTTGAGCTGTTGCTTCAGGAATGTCGCTGGAGCCAGCAGCTGGATCGGAATGAGCACGGGCAGCTGTGGGGCACTCTGAGGAGCGTGGCCACAAGGACAGTAGGTGGTTTGTTCACTGGGGAGCTGCAGCGCCACCACCATCTGAATCCTGGTTGGAGTTTTCAGGCACAGAGCATGTATCTGCAGGAGGAAGCTGTTAAAAGAGCACATGAGCATAGTCCTGCTTCCATCTCTGCCTGTTTTAGCAGGTTTAAAGGACTGGGTTAAAGTCCTTTAAATTCACTAAAGACAGTACTGGTCTGACCTGTACCAAGAGCTTCCTGTGGAACAAAGCTGATAGCACGCTAGACACTCTCTGAAGTACTTTAGTCTTCAACTCAAAAATTACTGGACCCGCTAAACTCATGACCTTACTGCCAAAGGAAAGTCTGCTTAGCATATTGAATGAGACCTGTTGTAGAGACTCTAGTCAATGTGCCTGTAAGAATGCCAAATACTAGAGTGGCTGAGGTGTGTGTCTGTTATCCCAAAGGGTAAGTTGTGTCCTGAGACTGAAATGTGCCACGAATTGTTAGAGCTCTGGTCTGAAGCAACATACAAAGGAGAGATGGACCTGTCTTTGAATGTGGCAGCATCGCTTTTTCGTGGCTACTTCTGGTCTGTTTTTCCTCACCTCTAACTTTGTCTTGTGTGTTGTTGTATGGCGGGACTGTCTGATTCTTGTTTAATATATGTTTCCTTGTTTCTTGTGGAGGCTCAACACTGGATCTCAATTCTCATACCTTGAAGCCCTGGGTGAAAAACACTGATGTGGACACTTGCTGGATCATGTCAGAGAGTTTAGAGTTACTCAGGAGTTCAGGAGATCTGGAGTGTGAAACTTCAGCTGGTTTCTGTCACAAGTAATCGCTGTGTCCAGATGATACATGCTAGCAGACTGGATGTAGGTGGGTGGGCTGTCTCCTGGGTGTGCAGGTGGCTGTACGTGGTCAGCTGTTAAACCCACTTGCTTGGTGTGCAGGTCTGGTGACCACTGTGCTTCATTAGCTGGCAGATCAGCATCTTCAGTTGCTTTAGTACATATGTTCCCATCTGGATGCTGCAACACAGAACCATTCACTTTATTACCTGTTGTGTCATGTGCAGCACTGCTGAGCACAGTTAACTTGTGCTGTTGTCTGGCCCTTATTCTCTAGCAGGGAATCCAGTACATTTTATCTGTAATTTGTAGACAGGCCTCACTGATAGAGGATGTCCACTCAGTGAGCTGGGCCCTCAGTGACTGCTGTATTCAGTCCACTGGGGAGAGAGCTGCTCTGGTTCCACCCCCATTCAAGGTGGCTGAAAAATTGTATTTGTGGGGACAGGGACCCTCCTAAGGAAAGGATGCCAGACTTTGCTGACTGCAGCTCCTGGTCCCTGCTAGGTGTTAGTCCCAAGCTGTCTGTGTAGCAAAGAGATGAGTGCTTTCTGACTGCTCTCATCACCTTTATAGCCTCATGTCCTGCAACTTCCCGTGGTCCAAAACGATGACTTTGCCCATAAACACATAGGAGCCTGCCACAAGGAGAGCTTCCCTGAGTACGTGTCAGCTGGCTGTTGAAGGGGATTCACACTGTGATGAGCTACTGGATGGTAAGTTGTGTAGCTCAAATCGAGCAGCCTCACATACACTGTTCTTTAGAGCAGGTCAGTCGCTGCCCTCCTGGCTGTTGGCAGCTCATTCCCATCACCGAGCAGTCTCCTCTGGTGGAACTCAGGGCCAAGCTGTCCTCCTCTGCAGGGCAGCCACGTGTGGGTGGGACTAAAGCTTTACTGCCAAGTGCTTTAGAGGGATCTGAATTCTGGAGAGGGCTGAACACTCCTGTTCATGGTGATAGGTAGGGAGTGCTCGCAGCCTCCAGAAGACCAGGTCCCTTGAGGTATAAGAGAAGGCTCAGCCTCTGTAGGTGCAACAGATTTTTACAGGTGGTTAAAAGTTATTGTTACTAGTTATTTACAAATGTCTGACCTCCCTAGGTCTCTAGACTTTTCTTCAGTTTAACACTGCTTGATATTTCTTTGGTGCAGCACACTGTTTGCAGTACCCTGGGTGTGCTGATGCAGATAGCTGAAGCTCAAGAGCTTCGTTGTGCACAAGCTGTGCGGAAGGTGTGTGTCACCAGAGGATGTTACACAGCATCTTTTATTCCTAACAGACATTGGATCACTGACATGTTTTTAAAAATCCACCTATTTTATTAGGCTTATGTGTTTTAAAAATTCATCGAGAAAAAATATACTATATTTAAATTGTTTAATCTATTCGAAATGACGTGCACAATTTCTGAAGGAGTCAGGACTTTGAACTCTTCATTTCAAAGTTCATTGCCAACAGCCATCTTGTCCCTGTGTCTACTCATGCTGCTGCAGTTGTTGCTGTTGCTACAGAACTGGAATTGTAAAACTGAGATTCTACCTTTATTTAAGCAAATAAACCATGGATGTATTCAAGTGAAATCTGTCTGCTTTCTTGGTTTATCCAAGTCCAGCTCACTTCAGCTCTAAGGAAACTGGGGAACTGGGTTGGTTATAGCACCTGGCAGAGAAGTTACTGAGGGACCAAAGGGGTTGGTTATTTGTGAACGTACCTAACTAGAGCAGTAGTTGAAGGAATGTTACGTTATATTTACCAGATGAATCCAGTGACTGGTTCTGTAATTTCAAGAGTCCCAGAAAAATTTTTATAACAAATATTCCACCTTGTTTCCTTCTGTCAGTACATTTTAATTTTCAGCCTGGGGTCTCAGCAGCAAGCTGGGTACTTTCCTTTGATTTCTCCCTGTGATCTTGGAACCGGTCCCTCAGGCTTCAGGGGGTTGTAACCAAGCATGATTTCCACAGGATGCTGGGACAGAAATCTGCATGAGCACTGTTCTTTTCTGCTATCCTGCCAGAATGGTCGCTTATTCTGGGAGGCTTCCTCCATGCCTGCTGTTTCTGGTGGCAGAACCGTTCAGTGTATTTTTCTCCCATGTTTGCTTGCCTGTCCACGCTTCCAGAGGCAGTGTAGGGTTTCAGGTCCTTGGAAACCCTGCTTCTTAAATGTGAGCTTGGGTTTCTGGGAGCCTCCAGCATCTTACTGCAGCTATTTCAAAACACAGATGAAAACAGAGGGCCACTGGGACCTGGAGGGAGGTGGTCCCAGCCTTGGAGGAGTCACAGGGGTTGGGTGAGAGGATGTCAGTGACAATCTGTGTAAAACCATCAGGACCACTGACTCCCCTGATGTGAGGACAAGATGTGGGGCAGAGGCAGGAGTGATAGTGAGGCTGTGCCCTCAGTTCCCTGCTTTGCCGCCGCAAGCAGCAGCGAAGAGCTCAGTGGGTTTTGTCATGGGCTGTGGAGAGGAGGAATCCCTGGAGGGCAAAGGAGTGTCTGCAAAGGGCAGCAGTGAGCTGCTGTGTGGAACAGACACTGCAGCATGTGCTCGCAGAGGAGGAGGAGTGGTGGAGGGTCTCCTGGTTCCATCCATCCCTCCCACATCCACCTGAGAATTTTGCTGCTCTGGGCCGGGTGGTGCAGCTCTAAGGCTATGCAGCTGCTTGGCGGTCTGAGGAAACGGAAGTGTTCAGAACCACCAGCGCAGGAGCCCCGGATGGGGAGATGCTCCAGCACTGCCCCGGGTGACGGGGCTGCTCACGCTCCGTGCGCTCCCAAGCGGCACTGGCAGGGCGTGCTCTGGAGCAGGGAGTGCTCCCTGCTCCGCCAGGGTGCCAGGGGATGACAGCTCCATCCACGGCAGCCCGAAAGCCTCGGGTGAGTCAGAGTCCCTTGGCCAGGACACTGGGGCCTGGGATAATCTGTGAAGTCAGCGAAATGGTGGTTTACTTGCTGAGGTGACTGCTCAGGCAAAAGGAATCGGGGATGGACAGAAACCAGTGCTTTGCTTGGCTGATGGAGCAGCTCTTTCCTCATGGCTTCTATGGATCCTTCAGGGGCTGGTGCATATGGCCACATGCACATAGAGGACTCCTGTCTTCATGAACAGCCAGGTACAGCATCTGCCTATGCTGTTGTCAGTGTTGGCCCTTTCCATAAGGACTTCCCGCTTGCTATTCCCTCCTTGTTCCTGGGCATCTCCCTAGCAGGCCCAAGCTGTGCACAGGGACAGAGAGAAACCAGCAGGTGAGACCTTCCTCTGGAGCAGAAGGGCAGCAGAACCATGCCATGGCCCCGGCAGCATGACTGTCCAGCAGCCACTACCAGAGCACCACTTGCTGCTCACAGCCTTTTCCCTGCCCTAGCTGAGGCCAGGCCAGATCTGGGGCTGCTGCCAGTGAGGAGCAGCACGAGTGTGCCCGGTTGCAGCTGGCATGCCTGCCGTCAGCTCTGATGGGTGTTGGTGCAGGCAGAGGGCTGAGCCAGGGCAGCAGACAACCTTTGGGTTTGTCTTCTGTCCTGCCACCTTTTCCTGAGTCGTCGTGCTTGTCCTGCCCAAGCCTTTGCTGAGAGAGCCAGACTGTGCTTGCAGGTGTGGCTTCAGGGCTTCAGAGGAGTTTGCTGAGTAGTTAGGGGCTGGCACAGGCGCTGAATGGCAGCAGCCGGGTGTTCAGGAGCGCTTTTATTTGCTATTCTCTTGCAGGACTGAGCCCGATGTACATGAAGGCACGAGGGAAGTGGGAGTAGTTTTTTCCTGCTGCGTGGCCGGTGGGCTGGCTTTGTTTTGGAGGCTCCCAGGACAGCCTTAGCAGGAGAGGTGTCGTTGCAGGGAGCGCTCCCCGGGGGCGGCACGGGCAGCGCAGCGGGGGCGGGTGAGGGGTACGGGGCAGGCCG